CTATTTCACTGGCATTTTAAGACATACAGGATTAAAAAAACAGAGTTTAATTTTGATTCACAAATAATTCGAAAATTTGGTCCTGGATGTTCAGATTTCAGTTTTTTAAAATTATGCAAATTCGTGCATTTTAGATAGGCTCATTACCATTTTACACATAGATGCTAAAAATATATATTTATTGGGAGGTTTACAATAAAATAATTCACATGAAAAAAGTTTTATAGTGATTTTAATTTTGTTTAATATTTATATGTAATACAAATAATAATTGTGTTGCTTTAAGTAAGAAAAAAACAAGTCTTAAGGTGGAGCTGGGGCTGGTTGCGCAATTACTGTCGGACAAAACGTCGCAAAAAAAAGTTGCAAACCATCAAAATATCAAGATTACTCAAGCAAAACACTCAAATAGACAGCACGTCTCATTTTATCACGACTCTGTGACACTGTGCACCTTCAGCAATCAAGAACAATTAGTTTATTTCTTCAAACGAGCTGCAGCTTCCCACGGCCTGCTGATGCAGTCACTAATGATAAATGCGATGTTTTTTGGGAGCTAGCTCGCTACAAGCTAGCCGTAGCCCCCTTTTAAACGCTCTCGTGCAGCTGAGGAGCTGCTAGAGAAGCTCCGTCTGCCGCCATTAGACCGGCCAGAAGCGACGGAAAGGATTGCGAATACACCCATTAGTAAAAGGTTTTCTTCTTTTCGATAAACCAGCTTTCATAACGGGGGATAATGGAGTATTCCTTATCGAGTGAACGAACGAAATTGCCAGATTGTTAAAGAATCGCTTTCGTGTCGAAGTTGCGAAGGGAGAACGGAAATTTAGTTTTAAGGGGGGGAGAGAAAAAAAAAAACAAAGATGGAGACGGTTCCTTTCTCCCGTGGCTTCAAAGACGACAGAACTACAACATGGCGAATCCAACAACTACAGTATGCAAGCTCTCTGAACACTAATGGCGGAAAGTCATGTTAAGAATAAGCCTTTATAATTGTTTAAACGTTACAAAAAGTATGTTTTGATGCAGAAATTATGTTTTAATCTGTGCATGACTCGAGGCGGAAATGCCGACCTGTCGACTTTTTGGTTGCCCACGCGAGAAGCGCGGTGCACCGGATCTCCGTGTCACCCTGGCTGGCTTGGTTATAATGCAGCCTCTGTCCATCACATCGATTTATTAAATTACAAATGTCAAGTATAGCCATAGTAATAATTACTGGAACACGGAAATAGTACATTTCAAGCGTACATTCGGATACATTAGGCTGTCTTTGATTGTTGTAGAGAAGGGGGGTAATGGCGGGAACAAATTACTGAGTTAGCTGCAGCCTTGGTTGTGGATATTGGGAGCACCAGACTTCATTTAAAAAACATGCGACTTTAGACGGGTATTGTTAAAAATAAACATAGCGATTGTGTAATCAAGCAAGCCTTTTTTAGACATGACTATTGGACATTAACAGTCGAAACGTATCTTAAAAAACATCCTAAACGGGACTAGTTATTTATTTTGTATTAACTATCTGTCTATAGTTAGAACAGCGACTTAGCCAAGATATAGATAGCATATATTTTAAATTTTCCCTGATGAGATTGCTTATTTGATTGCATCATTAGCCTATGCATCACAACAAGCGTTGAATGTACGAATCATGATTGTCGCAAAACTTAATTTAAAACACGGAGGCTTTCAGATGTGTGTTTGTGTGATAAAAGCGCCGATTTTAGCACTTGTGCTAGCAGCAAACATGGCTCCCGAGGACTGTATGGGAATATAGTGTTGTGTGCGTGTGTTGAACGCGGCGGAGGAAGCAGCTTTTTTTACCGACGTACCAGCGGTAAAAGACAAGTTTACTTATTGTGCTACGGCTGGGGAGGGAGGCCGAGTCGTGTGTGTGTGCGAGCACCGAGCAAAGAGGCTGCGAAACGGTTAAAGCACTGCGATAATGTCAGCGAGCTGGCCGGGGGAACCGCCGTTTCAAAGTACCCGATGAATTCAAGCTTTTCTCGTTTCGTCGCCCCCTCTACTATACGCCCAGTCCACGAGGATTGACCATGTTTTCCGACTGCTTTTTATTTATTTATTTACACTCTGCTACAAATAACAAAACCCCTAAAAAAAGCCCATGTGGTCAGCATTAGCTTCACAGGTCACTCGCAAAGGGGGAAAAAGTGGTTTTCAAAAAAAGCACGACTCACATCAGACGGTGTCCTGTTTCTTAGCTCCAAGTGGATCCTCTTCTTCATGTCCATCTTCCCTCTACGAAAGTTAAAACTTTTCTCTCTTGTTTTTTTTTTCTCTCTCTCTCTTGTTTTTTGCTTCAGTCCAAAGGCAGAGATGCCCTTATGGAGGGAGAATACAGGGCTGTGTAATGAGCTGAGCCAAACGCTAAGTTAGTCGGAGCGGAGGGGAAACCATGGAGGGAAACGGGACTGAAACAAAATATCTGCTCAACAGCGACATCTACGTGCAGAACCGCCCATCGCCTCTGAAAGGGCCAATGCAGTCAGAAAACATGACGCTGCCCCGAAAAACGCTGCTGCTGCTGCTGCGGTGCGATTTATTCCTGCAAAGAAAACCACCATAGTTTATACTGACATGACTCTGTGTGTTTTAGTTTTAAACTCGTTGCAGAAAATCCAAAAATGCAACCCATTAACACATTGATCATACAATGCACTTTAAAAGAAACCTTGAGCTTATTTTACTCAATTCATAAGCTTGATGGTTAGATTTAAATGTGACAAAAACCTGTTGCTCAAAGAAAATGTGTATTTTTTGTGTGTCTGATAAATAAAGTTTACGTGGTTTTAAAATGTGCGGGTTTTTCTTAAGGTGGGGGGTGTATTTGGTTTGCAGTGAAGAGAGAGCATTGTGCATGTGGAGGGTAGGGCACCCCCTCCTTCAACCCCACCCCTTTACTTCCTGAGCCCCTGAAGGCAGCGTACAAAAATGAGCCTGGCTGTAAAGTTTCCCCTAAAAAATGCGACAAATACTCACCTTCATTGCTTTAGATTTTTGTGATTAGAACAAACACGTTTTAAAGGGTGAAAAAAGGCATGCTGTCTCATAATTGTATGTTCCTGTAGGTGGCGCTGTGACTTCATTGACTACATTTGGACACAGACGAGCCTCAGTTCTAAGAGTGTTGCGTTCACTGACCTCTGCTTGTAGCTCCTGTTCAAATTCAGGCACATCTAAAAGAAATCCATATTATAATGTTGATCTGATTTTCTTTGCAGTAGTTTACTGGTAGGCAAACTTAAGAAGGCATTGAGCAATTATTTTTGTTAAAAAATGCCTTTTTAAGAGAAATTTGCATTTTCTGCAAAAATGCAATGAGAATAGGCAAATGATGAAATTGCTTAAGAAGCTAAAACAATATTTAAAGCTAAAAGGTAAAATGAGCTGCAAAACAAAGTAGCAAATGCTGAATAAAATTAGCAAAAGATGGACAAAAATAGAAAAACTAGAGCTTTTTTTACATTCTGAAACTTCATGCAGCAGTTAGTCTACATGCACTTCCTGAAGTCTCACTTAATAATAAAGATATTTGTGTTTTTACAATCAGATAGCTGTTTGTCTGTGTCTGAGCGGCTGAAAGACATCAGGGCTCAATGTGCTCAGAGAAGATTGAGGAAACTCCCCACATGAGTGGTGGTCCATCTGAGATAAGACGGGTTTGTCCCTGCTCTAGTTTGAAGACAGGATTTCTCACCTTCTTTCATGCTCTGCAGCTTCAAAATTCACATAAGTCATCAATTTTAGAGTTTGCATTTTAAAAAAATCACATAAACTAGAGCAATGCATATCACCTGGCAGCGTTGAGACTAAATGATGCAAAAAACAAACTGTTTTTGTCAGCAGAGAAGGTGTAAATCCCAGCTGCCACCACTTCAAATTCTATCTCAGTGTCTACTGTCTAAATTGTATTTATTTTTATTTTCAGTTTACTGTGGCAGCAGTCTTGAATTGGCTCCAAAAGTTGTAGTTTAGAGCAGTGTTTCCCAAAGTTGGGGTCGGGACCCAAAGTGGGGTCCCGAAAAATCAAGGTGGGGTCCTGAAAAGATTTTCTGAATTAATTACATTTTTGCCTTAGTTGTTACAAAGGAGTGAGGTTAGTGTATTTAAAATATATAAATGTAGTATAATAAATATTGTTACTATGCCCATGTTTTGTTGACCTGATACAAATGTTTATCATCCAAAAACAGTTGGGGGCACAGGTCTCTGCTACTGTTATTTTGTGGGTCAAAAGCTGAAAAGTTTGGGAACCACTGCACTTTGGTTCCCAAAGTTGGGCTTGGGACCCAATTATGGGTCATGAAGCACCTTGGATAATCTCCAGAAATCAATTTAAAGGGTAATAAAATAATTGTTGATGTAATATTTTCCCTATAACTATTACAAAAACACAAAATAAGTATAAATAAGTATTTATATTTGTGTACAAGCTGTTTAGACTGTCAAAAAGCCTGTGTTTTTAGGGTTATTAACAAAGTTTGTGTACTCAGACCAGTAATATTTGGGGTCACAAGTTTTTGCCATGAATATTTTGTGGGTCAGAAGATAAAAAGTTTGGGAACCACTGGTTTAGAGATCAAAGTTTCATTAAAGTCTGCCCAGTTCATGAGAAATTTTGCCAAATGACACACAAACTCAAGTGAGCTTCATCTTACTTTCAATTATTATTGTTTACATGTGGAAAAATAGCCTAGATTATTTTTTTCATTGCAAACCAGCCCCCCCGCTGTCCGTCTCTCTCTAACAGCCCTGCTGCCAACTCCTCCAGCTTTACAAATATGATAAGGCCCGAACTGCAAGAACTCTCCCAGCTCTACAGTAATGGTTAACTAGATATCTCAACTGGGAGGGGGGAGGCGGCGGGTGGGAATAGACAGCAGACAGACGTTTTTTTTCTGTTATGTTCTTTGCGCGCCTTCGGTTGAATTCATTCATAGCTGCAGGCAGAATGGAGGAGACGTCGCAGCAAGAGAACAAACCGGAGCTGGGGCTTCAGAACCAGAATGAGGAGGAAGGTACCCGTTGTTTTAAACTTTCACATTTCTGAAAGACTGGTTGATTTTTTTAATCTATATCTAGATGAACAAACCACACATTTTACACTTTAATAATATAAATAAGTGCATGTATAAAAAAATGGTGTCTCATTGTGTAAAACTTCTTTCAGGTGGGATCCGCCGTCGACTGAGAGACAGGGACCTGCTCAGGAAGAGAAAAGCTGAGGCAGAAGAGAAGGAAACTAACCAGTGGGTTTTTGGGTAAATTGGTTTCAAAGAAAGCACTGTCTGTATGAACATATCTGAGAAAGTTCTGCAGGTTGAACTGAGTGAGACGCAGTAAATACGCAGTGGACACTGCTCAGCCTCACCCAGAAACACTCTCTGTATTGTAATTTTACTGTATGTGCTTCGGACACTATCAGCTTCCTCCAGCTGCTTATCGCTCCTCTGTAGTTCATGCTGAATGTGGAGCAAGAGGGAACCAAAGGTTGCTTCTCTGGGTCTATTGACAACCCAGGTCCCGGTCAAGGACTTTGTCCTATTAGCTCAGAGTCGGCGTGCCCACTGCTTCTGAGTTAACCAGTTCTGCTCTTTCAGGGCGGAGAACCAGAGGAAGAGACACAGAGCGGAGAGCAAGAGCGGCACCAAGAAGACAGGGAGGCCCAGGAAGGCCGAGCCCGCTCCAGTGCTCCCAGCTGTCCTGGAAGGGGCAGCTGGTGGGACTCAGGAGGACCCGGCTGTAGTGGTGGCCCCAGAACCTGCTGCCGCGTTCATCTCGGATCAGCTCTATGAATCTCTGGCCTCCATCCAGGCGTCAGAGCCCCAACTGGCTCCTGCTCCTCCCGCGCCCATGCTCCAATCGGTCTTTGTTAAGTCGGCCGTGGATCTGGCTCCTCTCCCAGGTCCCGTGGATCCAGCTCCCCTCACAGCTCCTGGTCCATCTCAAGACTCCGTCCCCACAGCAGGTCTCGCTCCTCCCTTGGCTCCTCCCCAGGTGGAGACCCTCTACACCGAATCACAAGGCAGGGAGGCCCCTGACCAGGTGCTGGTTGAGGACTTGGGCCCAGATGAAGAGGAGGATGTTTCTCCAACACCAGATCAAAGACCCAGTGAAGGTATGAACAATCCTTCTGATGATCTTCTCCGTCCTTCTGTTAAAATAATTATCTTCTTTCTTTTAGGTTTAAATGAAACTCCGCAGATCGTTGTTCCCGAACAAAACAAATTCTACTCAGTTCCAACAGTATCTGCTTCTCTTCTGCCTCAGGAATACTTCCCAGGAAACTCATTGTAATCTTTTTTTTTAATCAACTCTTCAGATCAACATCTGAAAAGTTCAGAACAAACAAAACCAGCAGGTCACACTTTGTGTCTGAGTATTATTTTGTTTGGGATGCATTTTATTCACTGGAGAAAGTAAATTGTTTGTTTGTGCGAAGCTTTTATTATTATTTTTTTAAAGGCATAAATTCAAGCCCGACCTGTATGGTTATTTATTCAAGATGTGCTTTTACTGCAGATTTTATGAATTCAAACTCGTATTTTTTTTGTACTTTGCATTCAGTGAACAGCAAATTTAGCTTGCTTTATTTAAGAGGAAGAATAAACAGTAATGCTTTTGTAATTGTGGACTTTGATTTTGTAAAAAAGACATTCAATTAAATTACCTGCTCACATCATAATTGTGTTTTTAATCTGTGTCCTGACCTCCAGATTTTGTTTCTTTTATAAAATGTAAAACTCAGATTTTTCTTTCTTGAAATAAATAGCTCAAACATCAGAGTGCTTTTCACATATTATGTAAGATAAGAACATGAAATACGGTGCAACAGGTTGAAATCAGCCCTTATTTTGCTGTGTTTTGACATGTAAACTATTTGCCATTAGTGAAATATTCTACAAATATTGACCCACAAGTTAGCCTAACCTTAGGGTAAACCTGAAGGTTTGAATAAAGACCAGTGTCTTTTTAGTGAGAGCAATGGGCCCACTTACGAGGCCTCCGCTCATATGGATTCTTTATCCATACCATACCATACCATACCATACCATACCATACCATACCATACCATACCATACCATACCATACCATACCATACCATAC